TTCTTTATCAGTGGTCTTCATCCTCAAAGGACTGCTTTCAGGGGACTAAACAAGTGAAAATAAGATGAGGCAAGAGAGGATTCTTTAACACCTCAAAATTAAGTTTTTGCAGTGTCAGCAGTGTGGGCAGAGGTGTGTGAATGTGTATTGTCGAGAAAAATCACAATGCTGTTGGATAGCAGTCCACTACATTTAATCTTAAATTTAGACTTCAGCTCTTCTGTGAAGATCTCACTGTAATGAGCGCTGTTGATTGTTGTACTTTTTCCCTGATAGTGTTCTAATATTGGCTCTTGAGAATCCCAACAAGCATCAATTTTCCAGCCAATGGCTGACTTTTGAACATTTTCTTGGTCCATGTTTGAGGATGTTTCTACACCATGTGATAAATCCATGTCTCCTTACAATTAATGATTTTTTTAAAAGAAACTTTTACTTTCCTTTAGTCCAAATTTTGTTTGCAGATGTCCATAGTCACAACTGCACAGCAGTGACTTTGAGCAAAAAGTACTGATAAGACTCTGCAGGCAACAAAAATTTTAATATAACCGGAGGGCGGATAATTTTTTACTCATCTTTGTATTTCAGCCCCAACCACTCAAACTCTACTGTGGTTGCCTATTGCCATAGGCAATGCATAAATAAACAAGTGTGCTTCTGATCTAATAAAACTTCCATTCATGGACACTGAAATGTAAATTTCTTATCATTTTCACATTTCAAAAAATATTATTCTTCTTTTGAGTACTTTTCAGCTACTTAAAAATGCAAAATCCATTCTTGGCTCATAAGTCTAAAAAGGTGACAGGCTGGATTTGGCTTTGGGTCATAGTTTGCTGATTGCTGTAATAAATCATTAGTGCTTTAAGGGCAGAGACCACGTCTTAGTCATTTTTTAACTCTAGCACCCAGCATGTCATCTGATATACATTAAGGACTGAAAACAAAAAACTTGATGAATGATGTATACATAAAGTATACATTAGGTTTTTAATTCTTTAACTAATGATCTATCTAATAATTTAGTATGTCATTGTTAAATTCCCATTAAATCGGTTCTGACTTACAGCAACCCTGTGTCGGGTTTCCAAGGAGCTGCTGGTGAGTTTGAACCACTGACTTTGCAGTTCAAGTTGGTCTTTCGGTTCAGTACATTACCTTACAGCACCATAACCCTTAATGCTAGCATATCATAGCACTTCTAAAAAGGCTAAAAATTATTTTTACCTTATAAATATCAAAGTTTTCTAATTTGATATAACATATTATTACAAATATATTTTATGCTATATAGATGTTATTTTATTTACTGCACCTTAATCTTTTAGTGTCTTGAAGAACTTGTACTTTTATATCTAAAGGGCTTTTACTTCACCTTGCCTGTTGTTGTTGTTGTTAAGTATCAAGTTGGTTCAGAGTTATAGTGACCCTGTACAGGGTTTCCAAGGAGCAGATGTCTTTAAATTTTCACTTTTTAAGAATAATAAAAAATTCTTTTTGTTACCAATAACTTCTTTGGACCTAAGTAATTTTTAAGTCATAATGGGAAAATAAGAGATAAATACTACTTTGTATATTGTTGATGTTAAGTGCTACTGAGGCTGTTCTGACTCACAGCAACACTTTATAGTTTCTAAGGTGCAGATGATGGATCTGAATGGCTGATCTTGTAATTAGCAGTCCAGTGTTTATCCTACAGTGCCATAGCAGGACTCCAATATTTTGTATAGCAATGAGTTATCATGTTCTATTGAATCAGTACTGAACTGAAAACCACAAGGTTAGCAGTTCAAACTTATCAGCTGCTCCTTGGAAACCCTAAACAGGGTCACTGAGTTTGAACCAATTTGATGGCACTTAACAACAACAATCTTGTATCAGTAACAACAGCTGGACCTTCATCACAGCAGAGAAATTGTAATACATTCTTGAAAATCTTCTAGTATGAAAACGAAACTCTAAAATGTCGAAGAGTACGGATTACTATGGTATTATATGTTACCTTTAACAGTATCCTATGGTAGAAGGCAGGAGGAAGGCTCGCTGGCACGCAACTCTCGAAAGTATATTTAAAAATGTAGAGTCTATAATTAGGCACAATTAATAATTTAGATATCAAATGATAGCCTTATTCCTATAAAGTATATAAATGGGATTAACATTACTCAGTTAGCTAGTTCATCTTTCTATTACATCTGGGAAAAAAATTTCAGCTACTATACTATAACTTTTTCTAGGGTTCATACCCACTGACAAAATTATTAGAATGCTTTATTTCATGAATCCTGTTTATCATTTTCTCACTTTCATGTTTGTTTGTTTTTCTAACAAGACACACATCCCACAAACAACTGTCATTTGTGTTTTCAGATTAACTAATTATTGAAAACTACTGACTACAAACACTACTACCTTAAAGGAGAATTTAAACATTTTTCATTACTTTTAGCAAATTAATATTTGTATTTTCCATCAATAACTTCTGACTCTTTGAAATATTTTGCAATTATGAATTGTGTATAGGTAAATGTGGTCTGCAAGTAGTTTCTTGATTAAGACAAACATGTTAAAGACAAATAACTATATAGTTATAGGTCCAGAATTATGTGCCTAAATTCTTGACATCTCAGTACTGTATTTTAACTAACACAAAGATTTCTATATTTTGAATGCAAAGAAAATGGGAATTTAATAGAATTAACTTGGGATCAACCTACATTGTTTTAATGTTTATCCTTTCTCCCCAAAGATTTAACTTTTCCATTGAATTTTGTCACAGATATATACAAATATGTATTTATATATAAGAAATAAAATGATATGAACCTATTAAATATTAAACATTAACCTATTCACAAATAGATTATCTATTTTTAAACACAGATATTAGAATTTTTTCATCTAATGAAGCATGTAAACAGATAGACTATTGTCAACTAATAGTACCAAAACAAAAGAAAAATACAGGAAAGAAAATAAAACAGATAATGGAGTGGTAGAATAATCTGTCTAAATTAAGATATAATTTGAAAAGACTGTAAAGATTTCATGGCCATACTTAAAATCTAGTGAAAGATTCTGTGTGTCTACTTGGTAGTTACACATAAATAAAGCAAGTAATAAAATATTTAATCCTTAGAAGTTAACCCTTATTTAGCACTTACTAAAATTTAAGGAACTGTTTTTATTAAATACTTACAGCCAGTGGGTACATGGGCACTATTATTTTTTCCATTGTATAGAAACTGAGGCATAGAGTAGTTAAACAAATAGCCAATGATCACCTTGTTAGTAGCAGAGCCAGAATTCAAAGGTTTGAAATTTAGCCTAGCATTTTGGTGTTTGGTTAAAGATCCAGAAGATATAAATTTTTTAATTTTATGATATAAATTATTTCTCCACAATTTAAGATATTGATATCTGGTTAAAAACGAATTCCACAGTAACACTTTTCTGCTTATCTGAAATAAAAATAATAAACATAAAAATATCAAACCATATCACACAGCATACAGAGATATATAAATCTGAATTTATTCACTTCTAATCTTTAAATAATACCCGCGTTTCCAAAATCAATGTCTTCACATATACAGGCAATTTTCTTATAAATAAAATAAAATACCAATACATCTCTAATGAAGATAGCTTCCAATTGTACTTTTGAAGTTTACTTCACAGTTTTAAAACAAATACAAATATTGTTCAAACTCAGGGTGAAGAAGCTAAGTATATTATATACAAATGAACCCTCTTAGGAGACTGAAAGTAATAATCCCCCAAACGACTCTTTACTGATTTTTTTTAAAATCAAGACTATCTTATTTATAACTCTAATTATAACAATATACAAAACATCGGTGCTGTGATATTCATGTAGTAAAATACATTTTAGAATTTTTAAACAAAATTGCATTTTTATATACTAGAGCAGTGGTTTTTAAGTGTGAAAGGGTGGTCTATGGGCCAGAAACAACTACATTACATGGTATCTTGTTAGAAATACAAATTTCTTAGGTTCTGCTGCAGATTTACAAAGTCAGCAACTTTGGCATAGAGCTCAATAATCTGATGTAAACTAAAATTTGGAAACCACCATAAAGGTAAGAACATTAATTATTAACTAAACACAAAGCAAAAGTACTTTACTGTTAATAGGAGAGACAATAAATAGTGTACTGATTTTAAAATAGAAGAAGATGAAATCTTCTTTTTAAAAGTTGAAATCAGCCAAGAAATACTTTTTGGGAGGAAAAAGTGGTAATTGCAGCATATGGCTCTCGAGTGAAACCTAAAGTTTATGTTCTCTTCAACAATAAAGCCTTTTTTTTTTTTGCTTAAGTAAGCGCTATTTACTGGATATTCTTTTCCTAATTTTCTTAACTTCAATTTTCCCTGTGCAAAAGTTGAAGGAAACTCTTGATGCATGAAGACTATATATTAATTCTGCTTTTATGGCTTCTTAAATTTTAAACACAGTTCACATTTAAGATGTTGAAGACATACCTATTTCACATCAAAAGTACTATAAAACTGGTATAAATATTCTATTACAGTCATTCTACTGTGCTTTGACACCAATGACAAGGATACTTCAAGAACAAGTAAACAGGTCCAATTCTAAATTGTATTAATAAACCTGATCACACCAGATGTCATGCTATGTGTCAGAGTTCTGCTGCCAGTTTCCTTTGGCAAAGTGTGAAACTTAACTGATACCATAGATGACTGAATAAATGAAGAACTGTCTTCTGGATCAGTTCAACATTCCTTATATTTTATCATTTGCAGTTTAAACCCAAAGGGGAAAAAAATCAAGAAACATAAAAAAAAAAAAAAATTTTCCTACAGCAAATTTTTCACATTCTTAGAACCACAAGTTACTTGTTCTGCCTAGTAAAATTGCAAATACTCATATAATGTACAAAATAGTAAGAAGGATGAAAAATAACATAATTAGTCTACTTCTTAAAGTATGAAAAAGGCATAAACTATCTCACCTCTGGAGTGACATCTCGTGGTGCAAATCCTGTTCCTCCAGTTGTTAATATCAAATTAAGTTCCTTTTCATCACACCAATCTATAAGGGTTTCCTGAAAGAAAATAATAGCATTGTCACATATAGAAGGGCTTATCTTGCCTGCTCAAACATTTCACAGATAGTAAGGAAACAAATGCATTTCAACAATCAATAGAACATTTTGAAGCACAATTCATGTTAAAGTTTCACACTTAAAACATACTGTAGTTTCAGGTATTTGTTTTATTCACTAGAGAAAATGAGAGTACACGCATCAACTTCTTGAAAGTAAATGAAACATATAAAATTTCTGTGGGAGAAAAATGAGGCTTTCTGCTCCCATAAAGATTTACAGCCTTGGAAACCCTACGCAGGGTGGCTATGAGTCAGAGTGGATGGTTTTAATGACAGTTTTCACAAACAGAAATTTATTCTCCCACAGTTTAGGAGACTAGGCCAAATCCAGAGTGCCAGCCCAAGAGCAAGCCTTCCTCTCTTCTCTGATGAAAGGCCCTTGCCTTCTTTCAGCATCTGTAGGCCAATCATGCCTTGTAGATCTCCCTGTGTCGGCATCATCTTCCCTTGGATTCAGGAACTTTAAAGTGCAGATGCACTCCATTCAAATCTTCTTTCTTGGTGGCAGTAGGTTCCTGTGACCTCTACCCACTATATGCTCCTTTAATCTCTTGTAAGTAAAAGGTGTTGTAGGTCACATTCCAAGGAATCTCCCTTTACACTGAATCAAGGCTGTGATGGGATGAAGGGTGCTGCATCCCACTCTTAAATCCTCTTACTGGTTTATCATATCAGATCACAAGATGGGAGGTCATCACATAACTGCTACATTATGTCATTATACAACTGCCAAACAATTGAGAATTGTGATTTATACAAATTTTAGAGTATACAACTCAATCTGTGACAAGTTAAGAAAGTTTTACATTTTTTAGTGATTTACTTTACATGGTTGTGTTACAAGATACAGGAATAAATGAAAGAAGTTCCTTTTTTCAATTACCAATATTATGGCAATTCTCTGGTAGCGTAGCAGTTATGAGTTGGGCTGCTAATCTCACGATCACCATTTAGAAACTATCAGCCGTTCTGTAGGAGAAAGATGAGGCTTTCTGCTCCTGTAAAGATTTACAGCCTTGGAAACGCTATACAGGCTCGATATGAGTTGAAACCAACTCCACAACACATCATCACCACCACAAGAGATTAGGTTTATATGCCATAAAATTCTGAAGTTGGAAGACAGCATACCAGATGAGTCTCTTCATTTCCTAAGTGAGACAACTGAAGTAAAAAAATGGTTAAATGATTTGCCCACAGTGGCATGGCAAGTTTGTGAAAGAAGTGAAACTAGGATCTCTGTCTTCAGGCTTTTCCATCTATTGCTAATTCTATGCAGCATCCCACTTTTCCACTATTTAGTTTAAAAAACAATAAAGTACTTGTTAAATAATAATTATAACTATGTTTTTATATTATTATTTTCATTATATCTTTCCAATACAGGACCAAAATTTAATGATAAAATTGCGTCATTTAGTTGCTGATAACTAAATATGAAATACCAATGCTTTGCTGATTACCTATATGTTGTTGTTGTTATTAAGTACCTTTGAGTTGGTTCCAACCCATAGTGACCCTGTATAGCGTTTCCAAGGAGCAGCTGGTGAGCTTGAACACCGACCTTGCAGTTCAAACTGACTTTGCAGGCCAGTGCATTAACCCACAGAGCCATACCAGGACTCTGATACTTATATAGGTAGTCTCCAATTTTCTATTCAAGTTATAATAATTAGCACTTACAAGTGTCTTTGTTTTTTGTTGTGATATATCTTATCATTAGTAATATGTACTACATACAAGGGGGCTTCAAAAAGTTCGTGGAAAAAAAAAAGAAATGAAAAATTTCCCATGAACTTTAGTATAGTGGTTACAAGTTGGCCTGCTAGCCTCAAGGTCAGCAGTTCAAAACTACAAGTAGTTTCTCAAGAGAAAGATGAAGCTTTTAGATGTACAAGATGTACATAAAGATGTACAAGCTCAGAAACCCTATGCAGGATTGCTATGAGTCAGATCCCACTCCACAGCATACCACCACCCACCACCACCATACAATGTTGCAGTATACAATTTCCTGATATGATCGTTCTCACATGGTAACTTGTTGCTGTTCAAAGATTGGATTTGTACTGATTCTGATAACAAATGGCAATAACAAAGAAAACAGAAAAAATGAGGTTTCAACATAATGAGAAGAAATTTTAGATGGAGTTGTAAAACAGAATGCTATAGCGTAGTGGTTACGAATCGGGCTGCAAGCTGCAAGGTCAGCAGTTCAAACTACCAGCGGTTCCGCGGGAGAAAGATGAGGCGGTCTGCTCCCGTAAAGATTTACAGCCTCGGAAACCCTGTGTAGGGTCGCTATGAGTCGGAACTGACTCCACGGCACATAACAACAACAACATAGTAAATAGGGGCTGTAGTACCGTGGGTTAATGCACTGGACTGTAAGGTTGATTTGAACTGTATGGTCAGTGCTTCAAGCTCACCAGGTGCTCCTTGGAAAGTCTATACAGGGTTGCTATGAGTCAGAACCAACTCGAAGGCACTCAGCAACAACCTGTATGTGGAATAAGAAGTTTCCCAGTTCTCATATTCATCACTGGCTCAAAATGCAGATTAATTATTGAGAAAAACAAATTGGAAATCTAAAAAAAAATATTTTAAAAAAATTTCCCTATTCTTGCACATTTAAATAAAATTCTGCTGTTGAAAGAATGCATAGAACAAAGCTTCTCTGGAACGGCATTTTCCCTTGCTATTATGATGTGTGGTTTAAAATCATGAAAGGTTGTATGCTTTCACCATACTTATTCAATCTGAATGCAGAACAAAATCATCCAAGAAATGGGATTATATGAAGTAGAATAGGACATTAGGATTGGAGGAAGGTCCATTAACAACCTACGATATGCAGATAATACAAACTTGCTAGCTGAAAATAAATAAAACCTCACACACTGATGAAGATAAAGGCTTATAGTCTTCTATAGCGATTGCACACCAACATTGTTGTTGTTGTTAAGTGCCGTCGAGTCGGTTCCTACCCATAGCGACCCTGTACAGGGTTTCCGAGGGTGTAAATCTTTACGGGAGTAGAAAGCCTCATCTTTCTCCCGCGGAGCAGCTGGTAGTTTCGAACCGCTGACCTTAAGGTTCGCAGCCAACATAAAGGACAGCAAAAATCCTCACAACTGGACCAATAGGCAACATCATGATAAACAGAGAAAAGATTGAAGCTGTCTAGGACATCATTTTGTAGAGATCCACAATCAACACTCATGGAAGCAGCAGTCACATCAGGCACATCTGCTGCAAAAGTTCTGTTTAAAGTGTTAAAACGCAAAGATGTCACTTTGAGGACAAAGGTGTACCTGACACAAGCCATGGTATTTTCAGTTGCCTCATACACATGTGGTAGTGGGATAATGAGTAAGAAAGACTGAAGAAGAATTGATGCCTTTGGGTTACAGTGTTGGTGAAGAATATTTAACATGGACTGCCGGAGAATGAACAAATCTGTCTTGCAAGAAGTACAGTCAGAATGCTCCTTAGAAACGAGGATGGCCAGACTTTGTCTCTTGTACTTTGGACATGTCATTAGGAGGGAGCTATTGCTGGAAAGGGACACCATGCTTGGTAAAGTACAGGGTTCACAAAAAAGAGGAAGACCCTCAATGAGATGGACTGACACAATGGCTGCAACAATGGTTATGAGGATAGCAGAGGACTGGTTAATGTTTCATTCTGTTGTACAAAGGGTTGCTATGAGTTAGAACCAACTCCATATCATCTGAAAACAGCAATAATGAACTAATGATTAATTACCACCACCCATCTGTCAATTTGTCATATTGTGGAGGCTCGTGCATAGCTCTGATATTCTAAACTTACGCTACTGATATTTCAAATATCACCATGGGGGTGAGTTTTCAGTAGAGTTTCTAGAATAAGATAGACTAGGAAGAAGGAAGAGGCAGTCTACTTCTGAAAAATTAACCACTGAAAACCTTATAATAGTTGTAAAATATTATCTGATTTAGTGCTAGAAAATGAGTCCTTCAGGTTGGAATGTACTGGGGAAGAGTTGTTTGCTCACAATAGAGTTGAACTTAAAGATGTACATGTAGTAAAACTTTAAGGACCTTCACTTGCTGACGTGGCATTATACAAAATGACACAAAGTAGTAGCAAATATCCATTAATAATCGAATGAGGAGTATAGGAAATGTAAGTCAAGGAAAGTTGGAACTCATCCAATATTAAATCAAATGCACAAAAATTGATATCATAGGCATTAGAAAATGGAAAGGTACTGGCCATTTTGAATCAGATAATCATGTGGTATGCAATGACACAACAAGTGGAAGAGACACAACACTGAATTCATCACTAGGAAGAACATTTCAAGGTCTGTGGTGCCTTGAACTTACTTGATATGGCTTTTCTAGCCAAAGTCATCTTAATTCCTACCAAGTGATTGGGTGGGACCATGTGAGTAAGGCACACAGAATTCTAAGGCTGGGACTGGTTAGTTTTGCCCTCCAGCTAGGTTTTTTTTTTTAAGGTTTTTA